GATTAACAGTACATATTTTATTATTATGTAGAACGATTAACAGTACATATTTTATTATTATGTAGAATGATTAACAGTACATAGTTATGAAATAATTTTGCCATATCCACGGAAGAGACGTGGAGCTCAGACTGATGTGTATATATTGAAGTATTAATTTAAAACCTTAAGGAGTTAACATCAACACCATGACAGTGTTCATGTACATGTGTATGATGAATTCTTGAGGTGTTAAAATCACTTCCAGTGTGAGAATGACATTAACACGCAGTGAGTAGACTTTTCCACATTTTCTGAGTGATGTTTTAGAAGTCACAGAGTGAATTTCACACTTTTATGAATAATGTGTTTGACTGATATCAGAGAAAAATTGCAGTTGAAAAATATGCCATCTAATGTTAATTATATTGTTCTATGAGTTATTGTATTTTACTTTCCACAATTGGAAATCCTTGGTACAAATATTTAATTTAAGTTATTGTATTTTACTCTCCACAATTGGAAATCCTTGGTACAAATATTTAATTTAAGTTATTGTATTTTACTCTCCACAATTGGAAATCATTGGTACAAACATTTAATTTAAGTTATTGTATTTTACTCTCCACAATTGGAAATCATTGGTACAAACATTTAATTTAAGTTATTGTATTTTACTCTCCACAATTGGAAATCATTGGTACAAACATTTAATTGAAGTTATTGTATTTTACTTTCCACAACTGGAAATCCTTGGTACAAACATTTAATTTAAGTTATTGTATTTTACTTTCCACAATTGGAAATCCTTGGTACAAACATTTAATTTAAGTTATTGTATTTTACTCTCCACAATTGGAAATCATTGGTACAAACATTTAATTTAAGTTATTGTATTTTACTTTCCACAAGTGGAAATCCTTGGTACAAACATTTAATTTAAGTTATTGTATTTTACTCTCCACAATTGGAAATCCTTGATACAAACATTTAATTTTTAAGATTAATATTTTTTCTTATATAAGAAGTATAGCTTGATATTGTAACTGTAACTTGTGTCTTTCTCTGTGTTTAGGGGAATCAATGTCTAAATTACATTACACGTAAGTGTGGAGTTCACAGAGTTTAGATTGCTGAATCATGCCATACTGTAAGCTTGAGGGTCCATGGTTTGTGTCCCATTAATGCCTCCATGGGTGCTTTATTAGTGTGATGGTCAAATCCTACTTTTTGATTAGAGTAGCTCAAGAGCTGGTAATGGTTGTTGTTGTTCACTAGCTGTCATCTCTAGTTTCTCTGTTTAAAATTAGGAACAGCTAGCATAGATAGCCCTAGAGTAATGTTGAGGGATTACCTAAAACAAACAAACACAAATTTTAATTAAACTCAATGTGTAAAGAATCAAAACTCCATTTGATATCTTTTGAGCATTAATCTTGATTTGGCAATGGAGAGAGTCACTACTTTTTGAGAATTAATTCATTCATATAACAGATATATTTAAGATGATGCTAAAGTTTGTTTAATGGTATGGAAAGTTCAGTTATAAGTGTTTTTCAGAACAACTTTGAAAACAACACAAGACATATTCACTGGTTTATTTATATATATGAAAACAATCATTCTAACCATACAAAATCTGAGTTTTTACTGCCATAATTTGGGATAGAAGTTAGGGTAACAAATTTTTAAAATAAAATAAACTAGGTGTCCAGACCTTTCATATTACAGATGACAACTAACAGAAATATCTGGCATACAGATATGAAGAAAAGTGTGTCCATAGTTTTATAGATTCATACTTTATAGAGTTAGATACCTGGTACTACAGGTTTATTAAGGCAACCACATAAGTATTTTATATTTTTCTGGAGCAATTTTATTTCATATCAAAATAAATCTTGAAAGATGAATAAAATAGTACTTTAACTAAATATAATGAACATGTTATAAATGCCATCAAAATATATAGTAATGCCTATTAAAGTTTTTTCTAATCATTGTATTATTGACAACAATATTTGTCACTTATTTTCATGAGTGAACAAACAAATGACCAGTGCTGTTATACACTTTAATATCTCTTTTTGAATTTTCCTGAAGTATTTGTTTCAAATTCTGTAATGTAAAGAGAATTTATATCAGTTCTTGATAATTATACCATGACATAATTTTATGTATAAAACTATTAATGCATAATGATTTGGTGAGAACTAAGCGAACCAAGTTTGTTAAAAGATTTACTTATCACTAAATAACTTGTATTATTGTTTGTAATGTAATTTCTCTATAGATATGAATTTAAATTTCATAAATGGGAAAAACATTCAAACTATCTATTTTTCTACTGATAACCTAAAGAACCATTTTAAACATGATATGTGATGTCTATTATAAAAATGATTTTCAGTTTACTTGTTAAAACAGAGTTTGCATTGACTATTAGAAAACAATGTTAAACAGAAAAATTACCGTATTATTAAGAACTAAGTCTTTCAATCTTTTAATGTATGATTAAATTTGGATATCTGAAGTTACCTGGTTTTGATAGTAACTGAATGCTAACTCTGTTAATATTGAGGAACTTGTTTCTCAAGATGATGTACTAGTACTGAATTCTGTTGCAATTTTGATTCATGTTCTATTACATATAATGATAATAAATACATTAACAGTAATAACTGAAATTTATTGAAACACTAAATACTGGTCATTAACCAAAGAAAGTTCACACATCTATAACAGAAAATACCTGACATATACAATTTTAAAGCTAAGCCTATGTACTATACAGTTTATTATTATTATTAGGGAAGATGGTAACATGCATACTTAACATTTTCTCCATTATAAAGTATAAGTTCTTTACAAAAAATTAATATGCTTAAGAACTGCAATGTTTAGAAAATACAATACTGATATTTTTGGACCCCATATTGAACAGGTTATAAAAATTTGCTGCTTCTTTAAGCTCAGTGGTCATAAAACAAAATAATTTACTAGAGAGTACCTGAGTTTATTTTGATGTATTAATAACTCTGGTAAATAAGCAATTAATTAGTCAATTGCTGTAGAACATTGTTTACAATATTAATAAAATATTCTATTTTGACAATCAAGAATCCTACTTGCAAGTGTCACCGAACTTGACCAAACCATTAATTAGCTTTACCATGGACAGATGGGAAATATGAAATCCAAAGAAACAGAGTACAGTTGTAAATAAAAAGAGTATATTTGAAATTAAAATATATTATTATTGTGTCTTCAACAAGCAATGCTTTGACAATGTCATAATTAATATATAGGTGTCGGTCAAGTAGTTGGCCGAGGATGATGTTGACTAGGTGTCTTCCATATAGTCTACTGCATAAAAATTAGGGACTGCTAATGCAGGTAGTGCTCAGGTAGCTTAGTATAAAATTCACAAAGACAGTCCTTAGGTTTTCCAGCATGAATTTACACCCATTAATAACAAACCTAAGGTCAACAAGGTCTTAATAGGTGAGACACTTGTGTGGTTACATAAGCACAGTGTATAACAGCATGGGATCTCAATTAGATTTTATATCACATTACTATTTATATCACATAAATAAGCCATTGACAGCTTGGTACAATCATGTCTAGTATTTTTCTAGGTGTTTATAGTGCTAACGTTAGAAGCTTCTGTATAACAGCATAGGATCTCAGCTAAGTTTTACATTATACCACTATGAGCGGTTGACAGCTTCATACAATCATATCTGATATATGGCTTTACTGTGTTTTTAGTGCGAACGCTAGAAATAGCCCTACTCTTAAACAGGTGCAGAATTAACAACAATTTATACCTCCACCATCCAGAACCATTAAGTGCTTTCCAGGTAAATAAAATATGTCTTACATACATGTATTTATCTGAATATCTGTGACCAAATTGCTGCTGCAAATATCTTAAGATTAACTAGGTAAGAATGTTTTTTTAATAGGTTTTACCTTCTCGACTCGCTTAACAGGTAATAAGAGGTGAGAAAGAACCGGTAGCCTAACATGGATAATGGGAATGGGCTTCGTTCCAAGTAAGGGCAAAAACAGCCTCTGCACTTCTTCTACCACTACTAATACATACAAGTTTTGGGTTAATACTATTTTGATAGACATTTAGACATATATTTCACTGCTAGTTTTGGAGTTAACTATTTCAATGTGTTTACTTCAATTTGATTACTTGCCTTAATTTATAAAGAGTTCGTATGAATGACTGCTGTTGCATAAACCTGTTTCGGTTTTGTTTCGGATGTTTGCTAGCTGTCCCTAATTTTGAACTTTATAACTAGAAGGAAGACAGCTAGCTAGTCAACAGCATCGAATGCTAACTGGTTTTTAACAGTCACTCTTATAACGCACCCACAGTCCCAAAGTGCGTATCGGGAAGCGACCCGTTGACTCTCGGATCGCAGTCCTGCACGTTAACCATTGGATAACGCTCAGATCGCCTATCACTCAATATATATTGACTTGATTTTATAAAACTGAGTTTTTTTTTTGTGGTTTCAGTATGTTACGATGCTTCCACTTATTTTTGTTAATTATTACGTTTCTTTCTTAAGTTTATGTTTAGTACAGGTTAATTAACTTATTGTATAATTCAGCTAATTAACTATATATTTAGGAGTGGAGTCAAAGTGGTATGCGTAATACAATTATTTCAAATAACAGGCTATTTTCAGTTTGAAGTAATACTGTCGGGATTATCTGAACAAAATCTCCATTTAACTTGATTTTTTATTTCTAAATATACGCTTGTATATATATATATATATTGTACTAACTGTGCCGGTAAAGGAAGAAATTGTGAACTAAAACTTCTCAAATAAAGTGAAAATATTCGTATTTTATAATTTTATAGAACTAAGTTGAGTTTTTCTCTGCCTTGTTAGAAGGGATTCTTCCATTACTGCACTAGACCGAGGTTAAGCGTGGAGTTTGAAAATTGAATTGTTTGTAAAAATAAAAAGTATTACCGATTTTTAATACAGGGTGGAATATGCTCTGTGTCTGAAACCATGGAAAATTTGAGGACAACTGGCAACCCAGTGGCACCTCCAAGCGTCCGAATAAAACATTATACAAGGTGAGTATGATGATAGGATCCGCCTAACAAATATTAGATTCACCTTTTATACAAGTATTTATATGATAATTTTCTTAGAATTGCGTTGTTGATATATTAACATCCTATTACCACTTTTCAGTTTTAGACAACATTCTTTTTTTTTCCCCACATGACTGTTCAAAATTAAACTTCCGATTGCGATTTAAACAAGGTATATTTATGTAAAATGCAGGTTTATTTTTTTCTTGTAGACTAATGACAGTGATTATCTCATCCAGTTTTATTGGCATCATCCATATACATCCGCTCATTGTGCCGATATGCATCCGATAAATTGCAAAGAAAACTATATTTTAAATTAAACGTAGGAATTTTCAGAGAACAATAGGTAACAGATAATATACAGATTATAAAGAAAGGGGTTTGGGACAGTTCATGTTTTTCATTTTTGCATATTTAGAGAGAAAGATAAGCGAAATTATGAAAAATGCTATACGTTATTTAATATAGTAAGATAGATATCAGTCACTGACAAATGAAAAAAAGATAAAGATACGAAGGGCAAGATATCACTTTCAGCATGAGAAAGGGTTTAAAGTGAACCAGTTATTTATGAATTATATACAATACTCTTTATTAAATGACTTGATTAATTATTCTGCATTGGTTTAATTAATATGAAGATACTCCAAAATATGAATGAAGTACAGTTTACTCATTTTTCTCGATACATTTTTTGTGTTTATTAACACTCCGTCGATTTAATCGTCCTACGGTGGATGAGCAGTAAGTGTACGCAGTTACAAGGCTAAAATCCGGGTTCGATTCCCCGCGTTGGACAATGCGCAGACAGCCCACTGTATAGTTTTTTGCTGAAATAACAATAATCATCAATGTTCCTAAAATTTATGACTGTATGCTCTTTATACACGGTAACTGATAATGTTCTTTATACACAGTAACTGATAATGTTCTTTATACACA